AGATCATATAACAATCTGAATTTTCTATCTCCTAGGTGACCTTCTGTAATATTTCTATGATGTCTAGTACTGTACATATCACAATACATGTCCATAGCATACAATCGGGGAGTTCCAATCCAAGTTGCTAAGACCCACCACCATATATCTTATGTCAGTATCATGCATGATAACTTGTTATAATACAATCATCTGATATTACTTATTGTTGATGTATGGAATCACACAATCAAATAAAAGTAGGTTAAGTTGACGGAGGTACTCTAACTCTCCTTATGTCTGGTTCTTGGGCAAGCTGTACTTCCTTGCGCAAGTAACGAATCGTAAGAGGACGGGGTGATTCCCTGGTTGTTCCTCCGACGATCAAGTCAGTGGGTTGCTTGTGTGAAGAAGTAAAAGGAACCACATTAGTTCTTAAGTTCAAAGAATGGTGGAAAAAGCTTACCCTGTAATCGAAAATGGTATCTCCTTTTATAGTAGTGGAATGAGGGTAGGATAGTAACTTTGGCCGGGCATGGGTTGGCGGCCAAGTCAGCTTTGACTTTACAGGTGTCGGCCGATGAGTGGAGAAGAGGTCACTTTGGTGTTTAATGCGAAACGACAGGGGGTGTGCGGTGCCGACGTGGTCCGATGTGTCATAAATATTATTGGAGGCAGAGGAATGATGGCGTTAATAATGCATTTAATGGCATTTATGGCAATGTGATCGGTCATCAGTGCACATGAGGGGCTCGAGGTGTTTTGTCGTCTTTCTACTCATCTGTGGTCGAGAAGTACAGCCCTTTGAGTCACCCTCGTAAGGTGTCGGCCGATTAGTCGGCCAAGTGGAGTGGTTAAGTAGTCAACTTAGTCGGGGCCGACATGTAATGCCTTTCAGGTCATCGACATGTGACGCCTTTCGGGTCGTCCTCACAATATGTTGGCGTGTCAAGTCGACCGAGTTGAGCCTCTAATTGTCTTGAGGTCCTAACTTGATTATGCATAATGTGGGACACTTGTCTGCCATTGATTAGAAATTATATTCCATCACTAAAACGGCTATAACACTTATATATCAAATACAAACTTAAGAAATCTCTAATTAGACCACATCTCCATCCAAGTGACTAATCTCAAGTGCATGATCTACTAAAATAATTTTAAGAGGTATTCTAACAACTATTTCCCTAAATTATATCCAAATAAATATATCAACAATAATATTTTTATTAATATTCAAGAATATTATATAAATTCTGCTAGATGTTCATGGCGCAGTATAGACTAGAGATCCTATCCGGACCCCCTACCACGTGGGGAGTTCTTAACCATACATGGGCTAAGAAATACCCAAACTGCCCTCCTATTTACGAACTTAAGGGTTAAGAACCTCTTGCACCGTGCGGGAGATTCTGATAGGTTCCGGACTCTACAATATACTACTTCAGTATTATGAACACAACAGGTCACCCTGTAGGAAATGTATCTATCCTTGAGTAACTCTGTTCATCCCCTATGGATGTGAAATGCATGACAAGCATCCTCATATAACACTTGTTAATTCTCCATGTTCTGCCTGGTCTACCTTTTGATTAAACAAACCCCAAATTTCTTAATAACAAAGATAAAAAAAAACAAAACGCTATTGGCAGATGAATATAAAAAATAATCAATGTTCAACTCACTGATTAACTCTAACCTCCACAATAAAAAAACTTTTAAACCAATAAAAAAAGGAGGAAAAAACAAACTTTGCTGATGAAACCAATTGGAAGTAAAAAATAAAAAAATAAATCAAATCTTAAACACACATCAGACTGCCAAATGGGCCCTACATTCACAAATCAAGAAACATAATCAGTCAAAAAGAGCAAGAGCAGTGAGCCTTTTAATAAACAATTTCTACGTATGCTGCCCCCTTCTGCCTTCCCAAAATCTCCCCTCAAAGGGTAAAACTTATTCCCAAAACACCCCTTCGGCCATCTCAAGGGTCCACTCAGCCGTCGATGCCTCCGAGGCTCCCCCCCTTCAAATCTCCGCCTCCTCCATTCCTGTCTCAAGTCTCAGCCCTCTGACTCGAAAAAAGCTCTTCAAACTCACGAGAAAAATATGGCCCTTTTCTCCCCTAAATGCCCCTCCTCTTCCCATTTTGCCCCCGCTCAGCAGCGCCTTAATCCCTCTCCCGTTCTATCCTCTCGAAAATGGGTCTCTCCTAAGTTGTCTAAGAAGAGGCAATGGCGTGTTGTTCGCGTCCAAGAAGGTGATTATTTTTCTTTTCTTCAGATTTTATAATTTTAATAGCCCTTTGATTTCTGCGTCACTTTCAAAATTTGTCCTTGATGAGGGATTATGGTGTTTATTGTTTGGTATAATTCAAAGAATCCATATGTTGAGAAGTTTATTTGAAACTGAAACCAATTTGATTCTGCAAATTTTAGCTCTGATTAAATCGTTATATTCTGACATATGTTGTAAATTATGCGTGGTTAAGTAATTAAGTTGCTTGCTCCTTGGTTGTTACTGCCTAACGAGCTAGTTTTTATGTTTTGGATTTCCTGCAATTTTTCATTTTTATGAGAAAATAGGGGGCCTTTGCGCAATTTATTGATTAAGAGAATAAAAAAGACGGGGATGCAACTGTTGAACCACATGTAGTAATTGAAGTTACCCGTTTCTCGGTTTTGTAGACAGGCTGTACTACATTGTAGATGATATCTGTCATTGAAGAGTTCATCCTGTTGAATATTCTTTGGTTTTTCTCTTTTTAAATCAACCATATAACCGCAATACTAGTGCAGATCGAATCATCACAAAGAGTTGATTGCATGTTGGACGACTTCCAGTCATCCCAAAACTCTGAAATAGATAGTGGGCAAGAGTTAGGCCGGAACCAGACTCCACGCTAATCTCGCAAAGCAACACCCCAGTAGAATATGCTGAGATGCATAATGGCAAAATAGAGAAAATAGAGAAACATTCATACCTTGCTTCGGGAGATCAACCTTCGTAGGAAGATAATCTGACATGGATAACCAAGCATGGATCTAGAGGGAAAATTTCCATTTTTATGAATGATATAGTTTTTATATAGATATAAGTTCACAACTAGACCAAGAATTCTGAGCTACTCCATCAGTGAAAGTTGGATTCGCTGGAATTCTAGCATCTTGAAAACCTTAAATCTCTTGTTGATCTCTATTTCCTGCATGATTTTGGTTTACTGGCATTTCTTAATTATCTGATTTGTGTTGTTATGTTTGATTGGTTCTGTTTGTAATGGACCTGGTTTCTGTAGGTAGTAATACTATGGACATGATTCAAATATCATATGATCAGTTGTAAAGCGGATGTTAAACCCCTATTTATCTCAAGCTATTTTTTGGTCAAGCTGTCTTTGTAATAGGGATAGAAAGCAGCCTTGCCATAACACTAAAAGAGATGGTTAATAGGGAAGTGTACCTAATTTTATTGGTAGGCAGTTTGTGTTTATGCAATTAGGAAACATACTCTGCAGGTCCTATAGATCGCTGAAGAGTACAAGAAAGATGAAAATGTGGAAAGACTTTGTATTGAGATTGTTAATTTGTTATTATCAGTTGTCCTCCTTACTGTAGTTCGCTAGTCCTTGCGTGGATGCATTGTTTCAATGCTATTAAAGCTCTTGGACAAGTGAGACTTCTGTTATATGAGCCACAGTTATCTACTTCCATGAAAGTATTTACTGGCTTGGTGAAGTAAATACTAAATAGTTTCCTGGGTGTCATCCACTCATTCACATTTGGTGAATGTGTTTACTTTCTTGATATCTTTCATTTTTATGCCTGGCTTCTACTCAAATTGATTGCACAAAAGCTGAAATCTTTGTGTTGTTTCAGTGTGAAGACATAGGTTCCTCTAGGGGGTGCTATTCAATTGTGTTCTTTAATGATTGAGGCAGTTGTCTGAAAGGGTCTTTTTTGAGATTGGGACCTCTTGAGGATTTTTTCGAGAGATTTTATGAGGGTAATCGATGATTTTTGGATAATTGGAGACTGATAATTTTGGAGGTCTTTTGTTATTATCAAATATTTTAGTTCAAAAACATTCTAACTAAAATAAAATCTAATTATTATTAGTAATTAGCACTAAATAGTTAGTTTATCAGGGTACATGTACATATTTCATAACTAACATTTAGTTATTAGTTGATTTGAAATTTAATAATTCTTTTATTATTTGTAGTTTGCAAGCTCGTTAAGTATATAAAATTTTTGAAAAAGTATTAAACTACTGATATGGTTACAGTGTTCTTCATTTTCTCATATTTAATTGTATGCTTGTTAAAGACATCATGAAGTTTTTTTGTTTAGTATTAAATATTACTCTTGGCAGGTTGCCCCATTTAAACGGTTGTCTTTTGCTTAAAACAATTGTTGATCATGCAAATTGCTAAATTGGCTTTTATAGTAGCGACAATCATATGTGTCTGTATCTTGCGTTATAAAAAGGTGACGAGTCCATTTCTCAAATACGTTTGCTAGAATAGAGTTCTAATACATATCTGGAACTTATGGTAATCTAAAATTTTCTAATATTTCTGTTTTAATATTAACAAAATGTCCTGAAGTGCATGTTCTTATTTTTCTACATCCCATTGACAACCCTTCATCCCTTGATCAACCTTCCTCAAGTTCCATTATTTTAAATCCTTTGTGTTTGAAAGTATGTGCATATACTTGCACATAATTCTAGGTTTTACCCTAAATTTTATATTACTTATAATAGCAGGTTCTACCGTACCTGTGGCCCCTGTCAAAGAGATCCCTGTGGAAAAAGCTGGTAATGGTGTATTGCCAGCTATATCTTCTTCTGAATTTCTTGACGCAACGAGTAAGAAAGGCGGGGAGTCAACAGTTAGTATAACAGTTGTTGGAGCATCTGGGGACCTTGCGAAGAAAAAAATATTTCCCGCACTGTTTGCACTTTATTATGAAGATTGCCTTCCTCAGGTTTGGTTTATTATAAACTTTTTCTTTGAAAATTTTCTTTTACTGAAGAAGTTTCCAGACAATGTTGTGCACTTCATATGTCTATATTACCACATTTTATTATCCCTGCAGCACTTTACCATTTTTGGTTATGCTCGTAGTAAGATGACAGACGTGGAATTAAGAACTATGGTCAGCAAAACACTCACCTGCAGAATAGACAAAAGGTGATCACTGCTCTAGGTTTTATCTTCTCTTTCATTTTTTTTTATTTTACTCTTTTCCTTCTTGCTTCAACTGTAGAATGTTGCATGAAGTTGTATTTCATTTTCTCCAGTGATTTATTCTACTTTTCAGGGAGAATTGTAGTGACAAGATGGAACAGTTTCTGAAAAGATGCTTCTATCATTCAGGTCAATATGACTCTGAAGAGCACTTTGCTGAGCTGCATAAGAAGCTGAAAGCGCATGAGGTAGTGTGATTTTTTGCATTATAACATGTTGATGACTTTGATTATACTTGGGTTCATTTAATGGCTTCTCATAACCTTACTAACTTCTGATGCTATTACCTGAGCATGCGAATGATTTTTGGTCTAGAGGAAAATTGTTTAGAGGTCTACTAACCTGGTATTGCTTCTTGAAATGTTATTCAGTGTTAAACTAAGTTACTCTGGACATTCTATAGGTATCTCTGGCCTGTCATGTTTAATTTAAACATTGTTATGCAGCTTATATAGTTAGGTGTGCAAGCTCTTGTAGCATCTCAAGGTTGTTCCTTTCTAGTTAAGGCTATATTAAGGAAATACTTACTGCAGAATCGAAAATAGGAAAACTGCCATGAAATCTGTTCGAAATCTTTGGATTAAGTCATATTAATTGGTGTCTGGGACGTGCTTTATACAGAATCCCAAATAGGAAGAATTGCATGGAAATCTGTTCGGATTAAGGTCGTATTAATTAGATAGGCAGGTGGCTTCTTACCTAACAAATTAGTTGATTCTTCGTACTGCCGTTTGTGTTATGCAAGTGATAATGTTGAGACAATACGGAGTTGGCTACATTAAGCATGATGTCAACACCCATACAGATGATCAAGATTTATCTAATGCTATTGACAGAAATACCAACAACCATATGGATGTTGACTCTAAGTATGTTTTTTTTTTCGCGAGGGTCTTTATTAGTTGAAGTGTAGAATTACTTGTCTTTCATATGCAGTTTTATCTTTGGTTGGGGGTCTTGAGTGGTTTTCCTTTTGAGTGTTTTAACATACTATAATCTATGTTAAACACAGACCAAATAGATTCTAATGGATGGAAGTTTTAAGATGGGTATATATGGGTGAATGAAACTTTGATAACCTTATGATCATTATTTGTGCCATCATTCTGCACCCTTTTGTGTTGGAAAATACAGATTTAGCTAGGTGAAGGAACAACAGATATTTAAGGAAGGAGAAAAAGGCCCCTTTTTTTTAGGGGGTGCAAGGTAGGTGATTTCATTTCGCTTGTTCGTAAATTTGAGGCGGCCCAGGCCCACATTGAAGTTAATCTGACTGAGGTTAGTGTAATCGAAGAATGATTAATTATAACATATTAGTACATATGAGTCAGCCAGTCTAGCTCTGAATCTAGTCTGAAGCAGCTAAGACTAATCCAAGAATCAGTAAAGAATAAGGACAAATATACTAAAAGTGCATATACCATTTTTAGTAAATGTAAACGCGTAGTTTCAAGTCCTAACAGGCTTGGTCAAGAGGCATACCAGAATCTCTAATCCACGGTTCTGATGATCCTTGTGCAATAAAAATAAGGGAATCTGTGCAACTATTTCAAAAATATCTGACAGTGTAGCTGAACCAATGCTGTCATTGTCTACTTTTTAATAGGGTTCTGAGGTTCAATTAGTTTACCATACCAATCAACCGAGGTTGACATTGACCTAAGTCAACCATGTTCTGCTTGATTAATCTCTATTATGTCTGTTACATAACCACTGTTTTAAAAAACCTCCGCCTAGTCCGCTTAGGCGTACGCCTAGATCTAGGCGGTACCTAGGCCGCCTAACTAACGCCTAGCGCCTAGGCGGTATTTAGGCTGCCCACCTAGATTTTACGAGCGTTTAGGGGAGCATTGTTTGCTTTTGTAGATTGCACCCTGTAGGCCTTGATTGTGATTTTATGTGTCGTAGCCTACACGTCCTCCAAACTCTATTAACCTCCAAATATGAACATCTCTACTACCTCCTCCGACCTTCAGCAAAACCTCATCGACCACCACTTAAATGAAGAAAGAAAAAAAAACGTCCAGAAACCGCTTAGACGCCCACCTAGGCGACTAAGCGCTGGGCGCCAAGTCCGACACCTAGAAGCGCCCAGCGTTTAATATAACATTGTACATAACATTGTTTTATGCAATATTTTGTAATAAGTATTAACTGATATTTTAAGTTTCCTCTGGCATTAGATTTCTGTCTAACAGTTAATGTTTTTTCTTTTACAATAAGTAAATGGTTACTATGATGAAGGTCGAATCCTGCAGTAATGGGCAGTGTTACATAAGGCACTAGGCGGGCTAGGCATTTGAGCCAACGCCTAGCACCGAGATGCCTAGGCGTACACCTATGCAGCATGTAGGCGTTTGGCTATTTTTAAAGTATTTAATTATAATAATTAATAAAATATGTATTAAATTCATATAAATAAATAAAAAAGATAGCAATTCTAGATCCACAATAAACCATGCATGCTTGAATACTAAAGCCAAAATAATAGCTAACAATATTATAGAAAGCGCTAGGAGGCCTAGGTGTTGGACCCGACGCCTAGAGCGCAGAAAGTATTTTTTTACTTTTTAATTACAATAACTGATAGTAAATGTCAATGTTAAGAAAGCTTAGGTGCCGGATTAGTGTTTAAGAAGATTTCTTTCTTCACTTAAGTAGTGGTCGAGGAGGTTTTGCTGAAGGTCGGATGAGGTAGTGGAGATGTTCATATTTGGAGGTTAGAGGGAGTTTGAAGGAGGTTGGAGGATGTGGAGGCTGCAACACTGAAAATCACGATCAATGCCTAATGGGTACAATCTATGTAAGCAGACAATGCTCTCCTAAACACTCCCAACATTTAGGTGAGCAACCTAGATACTACCCAGGCGCTCGGCGCTAGTTAGGCGGCCTAGGTACCGCCTAGGCCTAGATGTACGCCTAGATGGACTAGACGGATGCTTTTTAAAACAGTGGTAATGGGTTTTACATGTTCTGCATTAGCTAAAATATAATGTTTCTGAATCTCATGTTTATAGTTTGAGGGTAAATTAGGCCAATCTTTATCTCAAGGATAGAAGACTCCCAGAGAAAAAGTTATTTGGATCAAGCATTTTGCTGTTGCACCATTATCAAACTGATACATGGATTTTTCTTGTGCAATTCCATGAATTACATCTTTCTCACACGTTCGAATAATAAAATCGAATGCATAGAATTTCTTATTCCTCAAGTTCTCTTGCAGGCTGGGAGGGTTTCAAACCGCTTGTTTTATCTATCAATCCCTCCAAATATATTTATAAATGTTGTGAAATCTGCAAGCACATCAGCTTCTTCTGACAATGGATGGACAAGGGTGATTGTGGAAAAACCCTTTGGTAGGAATTCTGAATCTTCTGCTGCCTTGACAAGAGGCCTAAAGCAGTACTTGGATGAGGATCAAATTTTCAGGTAACTTATCCATTCTTAGCTGATGTTACTTCTTATCTTTTTGTTTTTCTGAAGAAGTTTTTTTTACTATATATGTTTCCCTTCTACAGAATTGACCACTACTTGGGGAAAGAATTGGTTGAGAATTTATCCGTTCTTCGTTTCTCTAACCTTGTTTTCGAGCCATTGTGGTCAAGGCAATACATAAGGAATGTCCAATTTATCTTCTCTGAAGATTTTGGCACTGAAGGACGTGGAGGGTACGATTAATACATAGATCTTAGTATTGATTTGAGTTGCCTTGTTGATTTTTGTTTTTCATGATCTTCTTTGTTCCTCTTTTATTTTTATTTAGGTACTTTGATAGCTATGGGATTATTAGAGACATAATGCAGAATCATCTGCTTCAGATATTGGCCTTGTTTGCCATGGAAACTCCAGTCAGCTTGGATGCAGAAGATATCAGAAATGAAAAGGTAAAGTGAAAGACTCCTCACTTTTTTCCCCACCTTTTTCAATTTTCCCCCTTTTAACACTTGTATGTTGGATTCTGGATTCTACATCAGACAGTTGAGACTGTTACCTTTTTACTAGTTTCTTACTATTTCCAATCCTGTGGATGTGGCTTCTGTATTTTCAATTCTAATTTTGCACCTGATGATAAATTTATTCACTCATCAAGCTGTTATTTTAGGTCTTCCTCTCCATTCTTACTCTAGCTCTCAGTTTACACTGAGACAGACATACTTGATCCTGATGCAACTTTCCATGCAAATAGGTAGGGCTTACTTTCAAAAGGAGCCATGATTAAAATCAACTTCAAATTTGGATCAGTTCGACCTTATCAATGCAAATTTATGAGTAACTCTTGATTATAGATTGCAATAGTTTTTGGCTCTTCTAGCATGAGATGCAACTGCTATTTTTTTCCTGGAATTCTCACCATCTCAATCTTTTTTCATGTTTTCCCCCTAAATATGTCTAGTTTTTGCATATATTGTGGGGGAGAATGGAAAGAGGTTTAAACACGTTATTCCATTTACATATAACGGGTGTTTGTTTACATTTTTTCAATTCACTTTCAAATTGCCAAATACCCTCATAGGTTAAGGTTCTACGATCAATGAAGCCATTGCAACTAGAAAATGTGGTGATAGGACAATATAAAAGCCATACAAAGGGAGGTATCACATACCCAGCATACACAGATGACAAGACTGTACCAAATGGTAGTATTACACCAACATTTGCTGCCGCTGCCCTTTTTATAGACAACGCAAGATGGGATGGGGTTCCGTTTCTTATGAAAGCAGGAAAGGCTTTGCATACAAAGAGGTAATGTTAATATTTACTACTTTAAGGACTTCTGTTTGTTATGTTAATCGAGAATTTTATTGCAAGTGCAGAGCGGAGATTAGAGTACAGTTCAGACATGTTCCTGGGAATTTGTATAAGAGGAATTTTGGGACCGATCTTGATCGGGCTACCAATGAGCTTGTGATTCGTGTGCAACCTGATGAGGCTATTTACCTAAAGATCAACAACAAGATCCCTGGTTTAGGGATGAGATTGGATCGCAGTAATCTCAATCTTCACTATGCTGCAAGGTACATGAACTTTTATAAACTCCTTTTCTTTTCCTTTTTGAAACGATTACTCTCAGAAGTGCTTAAATGCTGATGGAATATCAACAATTTGACTGTTCTGGATAGTTCATTTTTTTTTTCATCTAGCACAAAATTTCTCCCATTTCAGGTTCTCATTGGCTTCTTTTATTTTTAAGACCGGTTTTTCTTGTTTTTACTTTTTTGGTGAGTGCGATATGCAAGTCCAAAATCTGAAGATTTTTTTAACTGGTAACGAGAATGAACATTCAATTTTTTTACAGTTGGTAATGGAAATTAACCTTTCTTACCATAAAAAAAGAGAATGAAATTGGTAGAATCAAAGAAAGCTAGCTTTTCCGAACTGAAGATCCTACTATATACCAAATTCTATGCCTAAACTTACGGGAATATTTGAAATCTAATGCCTGCTTAATTGTGCCCTGTCTTCAAATGCATGCCTAAATTACACGTCTTTATGATTCATCAGTTTATCTTAACACTACTGCATTCCTTCATGCTCTCAATGAATATGTTATGAATATGTTAAATAAAATATATTGGATATATTTTTCATCTAGAGTGCTTTTGTGTGATGACTATTAGAACAGCCTCAGTATTTTGTTATATAACTGACTTCTATAGATATCATATCCGTATGTCATTACCATCCCTCTAAGAAGGAATCATTTCTTGAGAAAAGTTTCAGTGTTTACACCCTCATTATAAGTTTACAATATAATATTGAACATTGAAGAGAAGGTGCTGATGAATGTAGAAAATATCGTAATGCATTCTTGATATTTCTTGTTACCTTGTTCTTTTTGGATCAGTCTTCTGAAGGTTGCTAGGTGCTCAAGGGAATAAACCGAAAGATTGAGATTTACATTGTAGAACATGCAATGAGACAAGGAATAATATATAGTGATAGGAAAAGCATTTTAGGGTACAACGAAATCTATTCAAATTCCATCAACATTCTCTGAAACAAACACAGTTTTCATAACCTATATTCAAAATGGTTATTTGCATATACACCCCCTTTACTATTGT